CAAAGAAACCTTCTGGGACTCCCTGTATGTGCCAATTTAAACTTACACATCTCAGACTCCAAACCCCAATATTAGGGACATAAAGCTTTCTTTTCCTCATAATTCTTAAAGGAAGCCTTGCACAGAATAGGATCTCAACAATGGAACATGAAGGGTGTTCTAAAGTCTTTTATGGTGATTTGGTAGACATCTCTCTAGGTAGGACAAGAAGAAGGCAGGGAGGGGGGCCACCAAGATTTTGTACCTGGGGCCAACCACAAAAGGCATGAGATGAGCTTATATAAAAGTAAAGAATATACTCCAGATCCCAGATATCTAAAAGGCCACAGATTGATCTTAGAATTCAAGACAAATGTGAGTTCATTGGATGAACTCTTTGGATTGCAGTATCAAACAGAACTGGAAATCTCACAAATTTCCACTAAAAGTCATCTGGAACTGTTATGGGTATCTCAGAACGGTTGTGGTCTCCACAGGTCCTTGTCTCAGGTTTTTTTTTTTTTCCAGATGTGGCAAAGCCRTCTCAGGCTGACAATAATCCCTGGTCATCTCTAGTCTTGGGTTGACCAGAATTTAAGGCTTTGAGAAGGTACACATGTGAGGAAACTTGTCACGTACTGGCAAAACCCTGATCCCTGTCCAAATTATCATCTTAGAAAAGGTAAGCACTTACAGTGAGTGTGCAATTGGGGTGGCAAGGGGAGATTCACATACGGGTTCTTCTCTAGGAAAGTGGGGAAAGAGAAAGCTCAGAGATCATTCTATCAGCAATACAGTAAGGTTATCTGTTTTACTTTAAAAGAATTATCTTTCTCTAAATCTACTGTTAACCTCAGTCAAAATCGCCTCCATTTATTATTCCTTAATTATTATATAATTGTTTTAAAATTAATTACAATTACTCCTTAATTATCCCTTGAGTGTGCTTTTCTGAGCATTGGGAGACACCCCTGAGCATTTTGAACCAGCTACTGGGGGTGACCACAGGGCTGTCAATGTTCCCTATTGCCCTGAATTTGTTGATTCCCTTTTGAGCATAAGACCATGATATTCACCGAACCATACAGGGACTTCATGTAGGAGGAATGGGTGACTACGAGGAAAGGATTTGGACATTGGTTCTTGACTGGTGAAGCGCTTTGCCACCCAAGCACAGGATTGACAGCTGCATACCATGGGGCTGGTTTCACCGTGGCATGGGCCGCTTCCACCCACAGGGAGTCCTCTTCCCAAAGTGCACAGGAGTCTACGTGTTTATTTTTTAAGTCTTTGCCTTTTACCCCTAAACCTTCTCCTCCAGCCCTCCCTCCCTCCCCCAGGAATAAAACAAAACCCAACACCAAAGGGAAGCAAAACAAAACCAAGAAAGTGGAGGACATATTTCTTCCTCATTGTTTTACCACGTCAGATGCCTCACAACTGGCCTCTAGCACAACTGGCAGCAGAAGTGCTGACCTATCCTGAGAAGGGCTTTTCTGGGGGACATGTAGCTTGGGCAGCAGTGACAGCGGAGGCAGGAAGTACAGGAAATCTCATGAGATGGCCTGTTCTTGAACAACTGCCAGCCTGCTTCTGCAGACTCATGAGGTTAAGACACATGTCCACGTTACTGGGGAAGCTGTTGGAACAGAGCCCCAATTCTGCGTTCAACTCTGAGGCTCACTGGTAACCGGCCCAGTGACCACAGAGCATAACTGTCAGAGCTCCAGCCAGGCCTGAGGTTAGGTGCTGCCTGTTGAGGTACTTCTCATTTTAACAGCTCACAGCACTCAAAGCTAATATTGGCGACAAAGCGCTGTGGAGCAAAGCTCTCTCTGAGACTGCTACAAGGCACTGGCTGATGGTGAGATCTTGCTGCTGTGTCCCTGGTGAGGCCACATGGGAGAGGAGGGACCCTAGTCTTTTTTTGTGATGCAGAAAGGTGGCTGATTATGAGGGGAAAGAGGAGGTGTCTGGGTTAGAGACCTTCTTTGGAAACTCAGGATGGGATCCTGTGACCCCAGTTTTGAATTTCTGGACAATTTAGCTAACTGGTCACATGAGTATATGTTTTGGGATGAAGAGGCTGATGCTAAGCCACCAGATTTTCAGAAGTTCTATCCCTTGTTAAGAGAGAGAGACACCAAGAAGGGGTGTGGCAAAAGATTTCTTTGGCTACATCTCTGGCAAATGTCATTTCCTGGTACAGCAAGCTCCATTCTTAGAAATGGCTGGGCTCCCCTGCAGGGGTTTGCTGGAAGCACTGTACTGAAGTCACTGTAGAGAGACTGGACCAGGCCTAATGCTCTGTCCCATCTAAATGCACCCAGGCTCTGGACCAACTTCTGTTTTCTGTGGTCTCCGATCATTTGATGTCTCACCTTGAGAGCCAGAAACCTGGGATGATTTAGCTGTGTCTTAGATACACCAGAGGCACTGGACTAGCCTCAGCCTCTAAGGGGCCCAGAGGATGCCTTCTTCAAGCAAATTTGGCAGGTCATCTGATCTGGGGGGAGAATGACAGGTGAGCCGAGTTAAAGAGATAGGACCTGAACCAAATGTCACTCACCTGAGCCTCGTACTCTGAGAATGTCCTCTACCACATCTCTTCTCACGGAGCAGGAAACGTGAAGAGCAGAGCTGGGAATTGAGAGAGATTGGGTGGATCTCAGCCCCGAAACTGAGCCTGTGATCAGATGAGGACTGGGGCCTCCATGTTGGAGGTTCAGATGAGGAATTTTGACTCACTCATTGAAGATGTTGATAAAGCCCTTAACTTGCTGGTGGGCATGGTAAGAGGGTTCCCATACTGCTGATAATTTGGACAGAAGCATCAAAAAACTGAATTACAAGATGAAGATGATGATGTATATGCTCAAAATAATACTTAATGTGTCTTTCTAAAGAACACTCAGCTAATATTAAATGGATTCCCTCCTCTCTGCTCCCCACTTGCTGGCTTGGTGATGTGAACTGTCTATCTAGTGCACCCTCCTTCAATCCACAATCAAGCTCTATGGGAAGCATTTCTTTAACAGACATCAATTCAAGATTTAATACATTTAATTCTACATTTTAAAAAATCATTAGTTCCAGATAAGGAGGGGTGCCAGCTTCTGCAGGGTAGGGGTGGGGGTGCAGAATTTTTATCAGTCCACTTCCCTAGGCAAATGCTAAATGCCAGCTTTCATGACCATCACTGAGAACCCAGAAACATAGAAGATACCTTGCCATACAGGTGGCCTCCTGTCTGGTCAGACAGATATTTTCTAATCCATGTATATCAGCTAGGGCTATTGTTAAAAGTTGCTTCTGTTTTGTTTTGTTTAAAGTAAAATCCTTTTATAAGTACCAATATTATTTTTAAAAGGTCATGAAATTTTTTTTTAAATTCCAAGTCTCTGCCTTTGACAAATATATTTCTAAACAGCACCCAAAGTGACAATATTTTCTGAAAAATGATGTTGGTATTGTGTAATACTTTCACCTGCCTTATCTGATCCCTATGACAACCCTATGGGATAGATTTGGCCCAATTTTATCATCCCTACTTTAATGTGGATCAGGGCCTTACAATTTGCTGATGATCTATATGTTGTCCAGGTGTGGTACTGGACTCTGATGGAAACAGAGTGCCTGACCATGTGAGACCAAGTGACTTTCTGAACTGCTCATCTTGACCTGGGGCCTGTCCCATTTGTTGAGCTGCAGGGTCAGTGTGCCCAGCAAGGATTCATTATGCAATGGAAGCAAGTGGTGTACAAGCAGGAATAGAGGTCACGAGCCAGCTGTACAGCCCACACTGCTGCACAGGAACTCCCAGGTCTACACGGGCAGTTCTTGACAACCAGCTAAAAGGGATTAAGCAGCCCCAGCTTGCTTTATAGATGKATCAGCTTAGTATTTACGTGCAAGTGGAATGTTGATGACAGCTGCAGTATAGTCTCAGTTAGGCCTGACCTTGGAAAAGACAGGGGCAAGAGAAAATTCTTGCACGTGGCCCCCAGCTTCATCCAGAGAGAGAAGCAGCCTGAAGTCAGAATACACCCGGACTCACAGAAATGATCTTTGGTGTGTCACCCAGTCAGAGGTTTGGGATTTTCCTTGGCAAAGAATAAGCTGTTTTCCCTTGGGGCAACTTTTCTCTGCCCAGGACAGATCTGGCACATTGCTGAGGCCCTCTAGGGCCCCCAGAGGGCTTTGTGATCCTCCCTCTCCTCCAAGGGACTTGATGGCCCAGGATGCAAAGAGTACATAGTCCACATGGAGAACATGCCAAAAACAAATCACTTCTGAAATTCTATCCACAGCTCTGAGTTAGGGCTCCACCTGGCACAGACTTCTGAGAAGCCCGAACAAGGCCATGTGATTCTCTGTACTAGGATTAGCTAAGAATAATACAAATCGAGTGTAAACACACTTTGGGACATGGGGGAAGTGTGTTTAGATTTGTGTTTTTAACTGGTCAAGAGTTGGTTTGCGGGGGCGCAGAGAAAGAGAAGGAGGAGATTCCTTGGTCACTGGACTGGTGATGTAACTTAAATACTTCAGACTGCAATTTGTTCCATAGTCAGATTAGGGGAGAATAAAAAGCCATGCTGAGACTTTCCATGAAAATTATTCAATCAAGAAGTGACATTTCTTTATTATGGAAAGACAAACTGACCTAGGAAGCGATGACCCTTTTCTTTCCTGATTCTGCAGTTACCTCAAAATAACCAAGCCTCCAGGAATGCAAAAATCAAAAAGGGTTGAGGATTCTTTATTTTTTTTTTAATTTAAAAATTATTTTTATTAAGGTGTATTTGACAAATAATTTTTATATTTAAAATGTGGCAAAAATTCTTAGAACACTAAATTGGCATATAAATATGTAGGATAATAATAATAATGATGATCATAGCAATAAATTAACAATGATAAAATAAAATTATTATCTGTGATTTTCAACCTTTGTTTTATATAAGAGATACCTGGRGAGATTTTAAAGAGCGACTAACCCTGAGCTCTATTCCCTGAGACTTAGATTTCATCATGCTGGGAACGGGGAACTAGCATCTGGAATTTAAAAGAGTTCCTAGGAAATTTAATGTGCAGAACCATTAAACTAGTCCTTGACTCGACCTACCACCTGGAAATTTTTGTCTCCACAGAATATCCGCCGTGAAAGAGGGTGGGGTGGCAGGTGATGCTAAAAACCACAAAAAAGAGCTCTTTAGACATCAGATAAAATGAAGGCTATTCTTTAATGAAACCAATGAATCTCTATAGTGACAAAGATCTGGTGAACTTTTCAAAACACATTAAAAGCCCACATTTCAAATATTGATGTCAAATTGATTGTTAATAATTAGATAAGAATGGCCAGGCATGGTGGCATATGCCTAGAGTCTCAGCTCCTCAGGAGGCTGAGGCAGGAATTGTTTGCACCCTGAAGTTTGAGACCACAACCTAGTGAGACTCGGCCTCTAAAAAAATAAATAACGAATGAATATAAATAAGATTAGCGTTTCTGTTTCACAATTTCTTTGAGTTCTTTAAATGGCCAGGAAAAGTTTCTATTGGTGATGCCAGTGGGGAGCGGGCACAGTTCTGTGGGTGCTGTCACAGCGGGCTTCTAAGGCACATCAGGCTCTCCATGAACGACCACTGCAGGAGCTCAGATAGACATCACTTTGGTCCAGAATCTAGGTGATGTAGTTTGTAGTTCTTCTTTCCCTAGGGCCCAGGGAGGKGTCCACAGATGTTGAGAAACCCAGCCTCCCTCTGCTCCGGGGTCTTCATTACTGCCATTAAGATTCCCTTCCAAAGTGACCCTTGCCCCCATCTTTTGCTCACACATGCCCAGACAGGTTGAATTGCTGAAATGAGCACTATTTAGGCCAAAGTGTGTGGGGGGGATGCCAATATGCTATTTAAAGAGAAAACTAAAAAAGTAAAAATCACAGGAGTTTTGAAGCTATTCATCTTGAAGACTATTCATGGAAGCAGGGAAATTAAACACAGTATCCTTGAATATATACCCTCCACACATAGGCTTGGGCTATTGTTTCCTTCATAATGACAATTCACCTCTGGGAGTTTAGCATGGGGCTCTCAAGTCTGCTCAGCACAATCAACACAGCACTGTGTCAGGAATCAGGAGGAAACGAGAACAAAGCTGTATTGTCAGCAAGCTGAGGGGTGACCCAAACACAGCAGAGCTGCAGAAAATTATTTTGGAAAATATTTCCTCCAAGCCGCCTGGGATGGCTCAGTCTGATTCTTGGTCAGACTTGACTGGAAGAGGAAATTAACTTACTCCGCCAAGAAGCCTGTGCATTGTTCTTGCATTAAGGAGAGAAAGCACAGGTAATGGTGTGAGCCTCAGCTCCGGAGAAACCCGTTGTTCTGCCCTAAGACTACCTGCTCCTCAACTTCCTTCCCAGGGGGCAGGCAGCTCTGTCTGCAGATATCATTAGAAGAAAAAGTTGATTTGACTTACACACACACCTGCCTTCTTACCTGCTGGTTTGGTTAATTGGGGTCCGTAAAGTTTGACATCACAGAGGCCAAGTGGTGACCCAAGACAGTGGACCCAGGATCTTTAGAATGGAATTGTTGGGCTGGAAAAAAAAAAGTCACAATGGAATCTAAAAGGGTCTGTTATCAATGAGATGCATTAGCCCTTATGCTTCTCTTGATAATCACAGGGACTACCCCAAAGTAGATTTAAATGCCCTGTTACAGGGTATTGTAAAAATGTATTTGAGCTACAACTTGAACAAGATTCAATTTCTCTAGAATCATGGTATTTCAAGGTTTTTGTTAAATATTTCTTGTTACTAGTAAAATAATTTTTCCTCCTCTTCCTCCTCCTCCTCCTCCTCCTCTTCCACTTCCTCCTCCTCCTTCTTTTGGTACCAGAGAGTTTTTCTGGGTACTTTACCACTGAATTATATCTGCCCCTCCCGCTTTTTAAAATTTTTGTGACAGGGTCTTGCTAAATTGCTTAGGGCCTCACTAAGTTGCTGAGGTTGACCTTGAACTTGCCATCGTCCTGCCTCAGGCTCCCGTGGCTGGGATTACAGCCATGTACCACCATGCCCAGCATCAATTCCTTTTTTTAAATGTAGGAGGAGCTGGGGGAGAATCCTGCGAAAGGGGAAGAATCCATGGTCAGCTCATGGGTCGCAGTGGTTTCTGAGAGTCATTCATTCAGTTGTTTTTTTGTTCCCTTGTCTGTCTGTTTACTCAACACACTCTCAGGGAGCCACTATTACCAACGAAGCAGAAAAGGTGTCAGGAATAGAGAGACTGGTGAGCAAAAGAGACAGGCTTGCTGCTTTCTTGGCACTTGTAGCCTAGAGGAGGAGACAGACTAATATGACACAAATAGATTATGTAATTTTGAACAGTGGCAAGTACTAGCGAGGGGAAACACAGGGTGCTATGAAAACAAATAGCAGGAGTGGTGAAGGGTCAGAAAACTTTCCATGAGCCCTAAAGGATTAGCCAGATGGAGGGAGGAGCTTGGGGGAAACAATTCAAGCAGGAAATAATAGCATGAGTGAAGGGCTGGGGATGTGGCTCAAGCGGTTGCCTGGCATGCGTGCGGCCCGGGTTCAATCCTGGGCACCACATACAAACAAAGATGTTGTGTCTGCAGAAAATTAATAAATAAATAAATAAATTTTTAAAAAAGGCATGAGTGAAGAGAAAGGCAGGTGAAAATCCAAATCTGAAAGAATTGAAACCATCAGTGAAGAGCTAATGAACAAAATGAAACAAGGAGAAGGCAAAAGAAAACAAAACCCCAACACAATAGGGCAGAAATTTGCTCCTAAAGCTGCCTTGGTGGCCGGAGAGCACAGGCAGGGTCTCTTCCTCCATTCTGGCTTCTGCCTGGCCCTCATTGAGGGCCATGGGCATTTTGGAGAAGCAGGAAGTGAGGTCCTTCACTTTGCCTTCCCAAGATGGTACCCTAAGAAAGATGGAAGTAATGCATCCTTCATAACATTAACGTGGTTATCAAGTGGTAGAGGTGGCCAAGTGGGAGGTAGGGATAAAACGAAAACGCCTGAGTACTTGTGATGTAACAGGCAGTGCTGAGGTACTTGTGCTCCTTATTTAACATTCCAATAGTTCTGATGGTGGATAGTATGCATCTTATGTTCTAGAGAGGAACTGCAGACTCGGGAAGGTGAGTAATCTGCCCAAAGAGTGAAAGATGGAGACGAGCCTGCTCAAGGTGGGTTGGCTTCCATGTCCTGGGGTCTCCACACTCTTATTCTGCGTGGCTTCCTTAGAGGGGCCACAGAGCCCATCTGGTCCAGGCCTCTTATCTGCTAGAGGAGGAGATGGAGGATCACTCTCACATAAGGCCTAGGAGCTAGTAGCAAATGAAGACTACACCTCTGGTTTCCCATTGCGAATCCACACACCTTTCCTAGCTGTTTCAATATACATAATTTTTTTTAAAAAGTCACACTTTCAATTTGTCTGGATGCCAGAAATAAACAGACTCATCATTTTTTTTCTTGAGTTTCAGCCCTTTTCCCGCCCCCACAAAAATTCAGTGTTGAAACACGTAGTGAAAATGTCCTATTAAAAAACAAAACCCTACTAAATGACACATTTTCTAACAAAGCAATCACATTTGGCTGCATTTTTTCATTTGGACTTTTGACTTTTGAGCTCTTATAAAGCAGGCATGCTTTAATGGAACAACTATCTTGTGCCTTTTCCATAATATTCTACATTCATCTAATAAAATGTAAAGTATATGTAATTGGTTGGTTTCTCTAATAGAATCTCATATCCAGAATCATATCTTGGTCCAAACCTTGAATCAGTGAAACAATACTGTGGAATAGGAAGATAGAAAATGGCAACCATTGCTTCATCACAGGTGAATTCCACATCTGTGATCACAGAGTTGCTTCTCATTAGTTTCAGCTTTAAACATGACATTCTGGCCCCCAGTTCTGCATCTGGGAGATGGGAAAAATGGTACCTGGTGGTCTGTATGATCTCCTTCCAGCTTTGAAGTTCAAAGAGACAACAGGACCTGGAGGTATATTTACAACTAACTCACCTTCTCGCCCTTGGTCAATAACCCCAGCAGCTGTTCCTACCTGCTAGGTCCCTTAATTTTAATCCCAGCCTTTCCTACCGGATTTTAGAAAAACTGAAGGGGACATCTGAGATTCTCAATTCCTGAGCCTGAGCGCCCCCTAGGCACCCAGAGGTAAACTGTGACAGCCTTGGAAGTCATCAGGATTCTGGGAAGTAGATATCTAAGGTCAGCACCAAATCCTTGAACTTCCCTGTTTGTCGGATGATGCAAGCACTGTGGGACTTTCCTGATTTGGGCAGGGAGGGCGGGAGGTTGGAAGGACGAGAGGGAGTAGGAGGCAAGCGCTGTGGTCAGACAGGCCCCACGGAGCTCGGCTAGACTATCCTTATAATGACAGGGTTAGAATGGAAGCAAGTAAACTGGAGACCCATCAGAGCTGCCCAGTGCAAATGACCATGGCCACACAATGAGTGTGTGGAAGAGACATTTTCTGTTAGAACAGAGAATAATCCCAAAGTAATAGACAACCATCATTGTGTTGCTTGCATTTCCCTCCTGTCCCAGTAAACACCATGTGAGTCTTTCCAGAGGGACTTTGTCTTTGTGTGCCATTTTGCTGCTTTTTCCACTCCTTTTGCTATTTCGCATACCTCCTATACTCGTAGTCCACTTAACAAAGTTTTTGGTGACATGGCTCTATTATAGAAGTAGAGCACCAAAATAGAGTACTTCTCTTTATTTTGAGAAGTAGAGCATATGTGTGTCCATGCGTATGTACGTGAGTCATGTGTGTACTGTGTATGGTCTGTGTCATTGTGTGATTGGGTGTGTTTCTGTATGGTGTATGTGGCCTGTGTGCAGTGTGCATCTTTGTGTCTCTGTGGTATATATACATGGAGTGTATGTATTCTGTGTGTGCAGTAGGTATGTTCTCTCTCTGTGTATGTGTGTGTGGGGTATGTGAGTGTCTCTGTGTGGCGTATATAAATGTGTATGCATTTTTGGTGCATATAGATGTCTCTGTGTTGTCTGGGCAGTGTGTGTGTGGGTGTTATGCATTTGTGTGTTCACTCCCGTGTGCTGACTCCAGCTCCTTGAGTCTAGACTCTGGGCTCCTCTCTCAGGCCTCAGCATCTATGACCAAACACAAGGCCTTCCGAGAAGTATGCTTTGGGCTAAGAGAGTAAGGAGGGCCCTTTGCGTGGTGGGCCTTTGAGATCCTGCAAAGTCACGCTGCACCTGGGGGTGTGCCATGTGACGGCGTCTGCCGAGGACCGTTCTTATCAGAAGGGTCAGGACGCCTAAGAGCCATTATCACAGGCTCCAGAGCTTAGCTTCGTGAACTATGTGTTTTTTTTCTCTAAGATATTTTCATTTTCTCCTAAAAGAAAAAGAAAGAGGAAAGGGACAAGAAAAAAAATCTCTTGAGTGAACCTGTTGTTGATTCTCCTTGGGCCACACTTACCCACATTGCAGAAGCAGGAAGAGGTGGCACAGGCCCAAATCCACACCAGAGGTGGCCTTTCCCCTCAGTTCAGGCCCAGTTCCCGGCTTGATGTGAACTTACGGCTCTGCCTCACCCACACTGGGCACATCTCCTCCATGCCCCTCATAGTGGACCTTTGACCTCCGTGTTCCTCAGAGTGGGCCTTTGACTTCCYGGTTTGGGTCCTACTCAGAAGGTGAAGACACTGTCTTTAAGTCACTGCCTTCTATGGTAGTTTTCTGTTTACTCCACCATGAGTCAACTCCTTTAGCATTCACTAAATAAGGGTGGCCACATACTGGGCCAGATAGAGGAGGTAGACAATAAGGTTAAGAATGTGGCTTAGAATAAGACAAGGAGGTTCACCACCAAGTTCTCTGCTTACTCTGCACCCAGTTCAGACAAAGTAAACTCCCTAAGGCTCTGCTTCCTCCTTTGTGAAATAAGAACTGATGGCCCTGGGTTGCTGAGTGGCTGACCCAGTGCAGAGTACTTAGCAAGGACATGACATTCTGCTCAGCATGTGGATTGGCCAACTTTCACTCTAGACTCTCTGAGTGGAGCACCATGGTTCTCAGACTTTTTGACAGTCAACATTCGAGAAGCAAATCATCTTCCACTAAGGAGCCCCACAAACACAAGATGAGCAAGTCCTCCCTTTTGCAGCTGTTTTTGCTGGGAAGCAAGATCATGGACACAGGTGGGTCCCTGACTCCTGCCCCTAGGTGCCTGCCTCAGCTTTGAGAGGCTGGGTTGCTGCAGATGCAGCAGGAGCCTGTCCAGAGGTCCCTGGAGCGGGGTCTCCCCTGTGGGTCATTTCTATATTGTTCTGGGAGTCCTGGCCCAGAACCTGTTCCTTGGACCTTTCCAAATAATTTTGCAGGCACCTTATTTCTTGATTAAACTCCTTCCTACTTAATATAAATAAAGCAATTTCTGTTCCCTAATTGAACCCCAATGAATACAACTAGTGTCATTTGTATACGGAAGACCAAAATTAAAATCATAATAGCTATCGTGCTTCGGTTATACCAAAAGTTCAGATTTTTACAGATGGTATCTAACTTCATTTTCCCAGAAAATCATGCAACTGTTAAGGGGCCTAATCCTGGTGTGCACCTAGGTCTTTCTGCCTAATTAGGCTGGATACCTAATTAGGTACTGTTAGTGTACTGTTCTTTCTCTAGAGGAGTTCACAGTTCACAGGGATATATTCAGGTCAATAAATGGCTGCAGCCCACGTGGGAAGCTGAAAAGAGCTGTGGCTATGGCTCTTGGAGCCAGGAGAGAAAATTCCTACCTGAGCTCAGGACTTGGAAGTTCAGGGTGGTATCTGCTTTCCAGTTGGCATGGAATCACAATCTTTAGACTCCATGGGGTCACAATCTCTGGGCTCCTTACCATGTTGGGGGCTTCTACTTTGAAGCTCTGTTGGCCTGTTTCTCAAATAAGGGTGAATTAGGAGCCCTAAATCTGCATATTTGCAAAGGTGCCCATCCACCCTTGTGTTGGATGAATCATTGCAGGTCCTGGAACATTAAGATCTTCTTGTGGGACTCAGGCATATTTTGCCACTGAGTTATATCCTCAGCACGTTTTTTTTTTTTTTTTTTTTTTTTTTTTTTTAAGGCAGGTTCTCAATGGCCTTGATCTTGGTGATCCTCCTGCCTCAGCCTCCCAAGTAGCTGGAGTTACAGGTGTGTTCCACTGTGCCTGGCTGGACATCTTTTTGCTTTTTCTGTGCCTTCTTAATGCCTGAGTGAGGAGTCGGCCCTCTTTGCAGCACAAACCCAACCTGTGGTGTCAGAATTGGTGGAAGCAAGGTCCTGCTGAGAGGGTGTGGCCAGACGTAGGGACTTGGACTTCTGATTTCCTGACTCTTCCCTTCTTTCCAGGTTTCATTGCCACCCGCTAATTTTCTATTTTTCTTTTTTTTTTAATATTTATTTTTTAGTTCTCGGCGGACACAACATCTTTGTTGGTATGTGGTGCTGAGGATCGAACCCGGGCCGCACGCATGCCAGGCGAGCGCGCTACCGCTTGAGCCACATCCCCAGCCCGCCACCCGCTAATTTTCATGTTAGGGAACATATAGAGTTTTATAATCTGGACCGTCGGGAGCCTAATATTCGAGCACATTTCTAATGCCTAGGCCCTGCACAAAAGGCTCCTCTCCCTCTACATTCATCTCCATGCTCACACCCTCAGCAGTGCCCTGGGCAAGGAGTCAGGAAATTGCAGTAGATTCTGCTGCTAAAACAGCTGTTAGATGATGTCAAAGAGAACACCATAAACATGTACCTCAAAATGCCCCAGGTCACATATGATCAAAAATACTGCATTACTTTATAGAGTACATGAAAAAAGGATAAGGACATAGAATTGTTCAGTTTCCAGAAGGTGAGTTGACGGGAGGAATTGCAGTGGAGAAGATGAAGCATTCTTAAACTAATGACACTAAAAATTACATGCGTATAGTACTTGGTAAATTCTAAAAACACTCATCTGTGTAATTCTACATAATTCTCAAAGTAACAGGCTAATGAGGAAGGCAGAGAGCACATTATGATAGCTTTAAAGACAACAGACCTGAAGTTTGGGGTCAAGGTCTTCTGATCTCAAATCTAGCTCCTCAGTGGCAATCAAAACAAATATAGCAACATGAATTTAAAAACAAATCTATAGCCCAAGTTACCTGATTTTGATCTCTACTTGCTTAAGCAGGAGCTCAGCCTCCTTAACTCTTCTGATTAGTTCTGGGAGTCCCTAGGAGATATTTCACAAGTGCTCAGGAGCAAGGCCACTCACAGAAGTTTCCTTGCTGGTGGCTGTCCTGATTCTGCTGGCCCCTGGGAATATCACGTCAGCCTGGGCCATGACTCAGGACTCAGCAACACTGCCAATCACTCCTGGAGCAGGCTTTTTTTCTGACACTCCACCAGGCCAGCAGTTTCTGGGTAGCAGTTTCAAGTCCACAGGCCGTAGAGGACATGTGGTGGTCTAGGACAGGGTAAGGGCTGGTTGCTCCCTCTTCATGAAATCACGCTTGGCTAGAGGCTTCCAAGGCAGTGTTATTATGACTCTGGTGTGCTAGAGGGTGACACCTAGTCAGTTTTCATGCACTGAGGAGGGTAGGTTTGGGACAGATGAGTATAACAGCCAGGACCTCTCCTTGGATCCATTCAGTATCTCACTGCAGAACTTCATGGCTAGCCTCTGGGTCTGGGAGTCTCCCAGTCAATTCGAACCAGGAACAAAATAGAAGCAAAGTACATTTTTCAATAGATACCCTTTAAAGCTGTCTTTAAAATTTAAATTTTGTTTTGAGATAATTGCAGATTCATATGCAGTTGTAAGAAATAATATTAAGAGATTGTGTGAGCCCACTTACCCATTTTCTTCAGTGGAAGATTCTTGCAAAACTATGCTATGATATGTCTACCAGGACACTGATAATGACCCAGTCAAGATACAGACGGTTTCCATCACCATGAGAACCCCTCACTTTGCTCTTTAATGTCCCTCTCCCAGCCCCTAATCCAGGGCAACCACTAATCTAATTTTCTGTTTCTAGAATTTTGCCATTTCAAGAAAATGACATCCACAGAATCAAGTATATGACTTTTTGAACTGATTGTCTTCACTCTACCTAATTTCTTAACTTTCTGAAGATTCATTGAAGTTGTTTCCTTTACAGCTGAACAGTATTCCACGGTATGGAAGTATTACAGTCTGTTTAACCACTCACTTGCTGGAGGGCATCTGAATGATCTTTTATTTCACAGGCTTCTGTGTAAACAGATGCTTTCATTTCTCCAGGACAAAGGCCCAGGAGTGCGATTACTGGTCTCCTGTTTACTTTTACAAAATTTGCTAAGTTTTCTTCAAGAGTGTCTGTACCTTCAAGCCTTCTCATTAGGCACATTTGAGTGATCCACATTTTCCACATCTTTGCCAGTGAACTCAACTTCCCACCGAATCACAAGGGACATTATGACAAGGGGAAATCCTGTAGGGGACGCAACTTGAGCCCCATCCCCAGCAGCAGTCTCTTCAGTGCTGTTCAAATCCATTTCTATCCAGCCTGCACCCTCATTTCTTTGGCCATGTCCAGACAGGGCTGAAGCTTCAGCAGGGGCCAGGCAAGACTGCAGCCTTAACTTACAAGTTCCTCTCTACATAGTGAGATGTTTTAGGATTTTATCCTTCCAAAGAACTGCCCCTCTCCATATGCCTCTCTGAAAGATAGGCTCTATGAGTTATATTGAGTCAATCTAATCCCTTCTTTCCACTATTTTAAACCCCTGTCTGATGGCTCTGTCCTATAGCAACAATTCCTATGGTGCAAGTTCCTATATATACTATTCCTTCACCCTATCAGGTCTAAAAGTGGTGACAGCTTCTTTCAATGGGCACTGTTCAGGGGCTATGGATTAAAGTGCAAACTATCAGTTAAGGTTCCTTCTCTCATGGATCTTTCATATATGAAGGAGATATGAACAAAAAAAAGAAGCAAGTTAATTTCATGTGGTGATGCATTCTACAAAGACTCTACACAGGATAATGTGAGAGAGAGTGAAGAATGGGGAACTCACCCAGGAGCTGAGCTTGTTGGTATCAGAATTTCTACAGGCTTCTTTTTTTATCAAAACTAATCATTATTTCTTCCATTTTTATGTGATATGTTTTCTGATCCCTGATCTTGTATCCACAGATTCTTTTGTTTGTTAAAGATCCTTGAATAATTTGGTTCTTTGAATTAAACAACATTATATCAAACATGGAATGTAGGCTACAGATACAATGAAGATGCTTCCTTCCTTAATTGGGATGCCATACCTCTAAGGATGCAGCCAAGGAACACAGAGACCTTGTTCTTGTTGATTCCTTGTGATTAACATTCCTGAGTCTTTTTCAAGTGAATACCCCAAATCAAATCACTCATGTCTTGCACTAGTTCAAATTACTTTCAAAAGCAAGGAATTTACAAAAGCATGCATCAAATGTTGTCTTTCTAACTTCAGCTTGCCATATACTTCTGCCATTTGAGTTTGTCACTGAACAAATTAGGTATCTCGTCCAGCTTGAGGTCATCTGTGAGTGTGTTAACGAGCACTCTCAGACCAAAGTTCAAGTAGTGAAGAGGATGGAGCAGGGAGGCATGTCTTGCTCTGAAACTAACATGGTCCATTTAAGCCTCTTGGGGCTTCATTGCTTGGTGAGTTAGGGTATTATCTTGTGTTTCCCCATCCTGTACCTGAGAATATGGTGAGAGCTTTGGCAAATAGTTTTGCTCAGATTAAGCTATACTACATTACCTGTTGTGTAATTCCATCAGAGAAGTAAATGAGACTTTGGTTATAACCTCATTCTAAATGATCCCAAGTTGGCTCATAGCACTTTGGTCCCTGTTTGTAGTATTACGCTTTCCACCTTCAGTAGCCAGCCTAGACTTTTTTTGTTGTTGTTGTTCTTCCTGCTGTAAACACAACTAGAATAATAATCATTGTTATCTTGGAGCTTTGTGCAAATCTCAGCTTTTCCTGACACTGTTATTTTGTGTCTTTGGCTAACTTCTTGTGCTAATTCTTTTACAATCTGAGTGCCTCAGACAGCCACGTTATCAATTTCTCTACATTCTTTTCTACATTTATGTTTGCATTTGTGTGTAGGTGCATGTTCTCATGTTCTCTCTCTCTCTCTCTCTCTCTCTCTCTCTCTCTCTCACACACACACACACACACACACACACACACTCACACTCGCCTGGTTTACTTATGACAATTTAATATAAACATTAATTGCTACCATCTTTGAAGTGCCCTGCTTTTTGGAGTTATTGACACAGAATCATTCTTTATTTTCTGTTTATTTTATGAAATCCACTTTCCTGAAGTTTGGCTGATTTTCTTTCTTAACTATAAGGTCTTTAAAATAGCATGGTCATTCTTCATCAATCTAAGAGGGCAGGTTAATAAGTGGGCTTGAGTCAGATAGATCTAGATTTGGCTTTCAGGTTCTTGATTCCTAGCTTTGTATCTTAGACTAGTTAACCTGTTTAATCCTCAGTCTCCTCATCAGCAAAGTGGGGTAACCTCACAGAAAGGTAAAAGAATTTAAAAAACTGTAGTGAGTGCTCAAATTTTATATTTATTTAGGCATATTTATTATGGTGATCAAACACATGTTCAATGAATATGTTATTATTATTTTATTATCCTTGTACACTTGAATTGAATCATCATTTAATTTATTTATCATCCTATGCATTCGGATTGAGTGACGTTCTATTGAATGAGGGCATCATTTCCTCAAGTTACTTCTGGTTTTCTTAGAAAGGAAAGAGCTTGCGATCCCCCTGCCTCAATCTCTTGAGCTGCTGGAATTAGAGGCATATGCCACCATGCCCAGCTTGAATCACTATCTAAAAGCCAAACAGCTCCCCTTGAGAACGTGTTTTTCTTCCTATATGTGCTACCATGTTCACATCTATTACTGATACGGTGTCAGTCACATTTCCGATGCTGTGACAAAATAATTGAGACAGTCAACTTAAAAGGAGGAGAGATTTCTTTTGGTTCTGTTTCAGAGTGCTCATGTTGGGCCTGTGGTGAGGCAGAGTATCATGGCGGGGATCACATGAGGGAGCAAAGCTGCTCAGTTCTCGGCAGCCAGGAAACAAAGAGCCTGGGGAGGGGCTGGGGTCACAAGATTCCCTTCCAGGGAAGCCCCCCCCCCACTTCCTCCAACTAGGCCTCACTCCCTAAAGTTTCCACCCCCCCACCCCCTCAGGGGCACCATCAGGTGGGAACCAAGCCTTTGGCACATGAGCTTCAGAGGACATTTAGGATCCAAATCATAACACATAATTAACCCACATCTGAAATCATGTTTGGTCACCAAAACTGTTTTGTTTTCTTCTAAGATAACTGGGGATATTCACCGTCATGGTCCTATTTTAACACCTGAGGTTCTCCCTCATAACTAGCTATCAGCTCTATCTGAGTCTTTTTCTCTCAATCACAAATATTAACAGAAAGCCTTATTGATCAGTTAATAAACCTCCTGCCAAACTGCTCTTTTCCTGTTCTGCCTCTTGCCAAAAGCCCATTGCTCTTTATTATTGTAAGCCATAGTCCAGGAAAATCAAACCTGTTTTTCAACTAGTTTATGAAGCTTGCACTTCCCTACCGGTACCTACTTTTCTCCTTTAAGGTCATTACTTTCAACTGCAATATGAGATAAAATGACCCTCAATGGATCCTCAGTGTGTGGCCTTTTGACATTCTGCTCATTATTTCACATTTCACACCCATTTCAGGATCCATGGCAGTGGGTAGTGGTCAGCAGACCTGGGGACTTGGCAGACACTCCCATTTCAGGCACCAGCTGAAAATCAGCAAACTAAGTTGATAACCATTTAAAACATTATTTTCTTACAGTCTTTAAAAACTAGATGTATTTGGATGTGTGTTTATGTATAATGAAACAGTCCAAATGATATTGAACATTATAGTAATAGTACAGGAAAAGTGCCTTCCTTCATTCCTTTGGTCTGCTTGCTCTGAGAAAAAGTTCACCCTACTCCTCTGCTCTTAGTAAGGAAGAACCTAACCTAATCCAAAATTAAACCATAACCCTTAACAGCTCGCTTAAACTAGGACTTCTTCCCATTGGGTTTTGGCAGGATGTGAGATGGCATTAAAGCTTTATTTGGTTTCATCCACTAAGAAACTTCTTCACTTCAAATTTTTTTAAATCCACTCTTATATTTAACCATTTAGATTGTCATTTGCTATTCTCTCCCATTGATTTTGATAACAGAATATAATTTTAT